CGTTAGGCACATGCTACATAGATAATTATTTAGAGGACGAGCCGAAAAGATTTCTCCGCTTTTTTTTAATAATCTTCCTTCGTTGTCTTTTCCGTCTTTTGATGATTTGTCACGACGACTGATAATAAATTTATCTTCGAGAGCACTCGTGTGCTCCTTGTGCAGGAACCGGAAGTCGCGAGATACGAACGTAATCGCGTATCTCGCAAGAACCGGCTCGTATTGTTTAACCTTTTCGCTTAATGAAGACATTAAACTATAAATTGGCCATCGATGCTGATTGACTTGGCAACAATCATACCAATATGTTAACGGAATTCTCATGCTGCCTCGTTACAAATATCCAAGCGACAAACATCACAAATAATTCAAAGAGCATCCGGCTCTTACGTTTTTAACAAAACTTGAATATCAACGACGTAGAGTTTCTTACCAAGAATTTATCACTTATTATTATAAACAATAGAGTAGAAAATCCAACATTTAGAATTGTTACAATTGTCATTGTAGAAATGATAATATAATCGTGTTGGATGATATAAACAATTGTAATTGGAAAATTATTAATACATGAAAATTAGCATTTGTGTAGTAGCTGGTGGCTGTGAAACTATTTCGAGTCATCTTCCTCATTTCTGATACGAAATCCTCCGCATACGATTATACAAAATTATACAAAAATAGAATATTATGTCTGCAGCTGGAATGATACATTTGTCATCTGGTATGGGCTTACACGCCGTTCAATTATGCGGTCGCAATTTTGCGCTGCGCAATGCCTCAATACAATGGCAATGTAGCAGGAAACGCGGTCAGCAAGTTACATGATCTTATCCTAAATTGGAATATTTTGTAAAATTATCCATCTTTCGTAAACTATCGGTATTTATATCATTCGCGTGCTTATATATCCGAGGCGCGGTGTGTTATTTTTGTGTAATCTTCGTGACTTTAACTCGGCGGTAATTACACTCGTGTGAAATAATGTCGACGTAAGTGCATTGTCAATGATTAGGGAACAGGAACTTTTGTCCCGAAGTTATTTATTATTTGTCGTTTCGTTAACGTTTAATGAAGCATTCTGGTCTATTTGGAAAATGTTGAAATTATTCACGTCATAATTGCTCGAATAAAACTTGATGTATCGACTATTTCGAAGCCAAGAGTGAAAAAAAAAATAAAAAAAAAAAATACATTTTTATCATCAATGAATGGACGATAAATTAAAATATTGAAAATTAATTTGTCTGTACTTTGTAAAATATGCCGATAAGCTTCTAATCTAATGTGGAAAAATAAATAAGCTCGGCAAATACAACTAGGAAAACCAATTACTTTTTCATAACATTTGACCGTCCAATATAAAAATAATCTCCACTCTTATCCCGACTTTACGTTTTAAGCTGCAAAAGTACATAAATATTTATTTCGTCATTTATCGACAACAAATCCATTCCCAATCAATGAGATCGAGTCTTTCAAATGTTCTATTGGTCGATATTCTTACTTGGGCCTTTAACACCAAACATGGACTGGCACAAATCGAAATCCCACTTTCTCGTCTGCAACAAACGATACGACTTTCTCAATATTCCTTTACAATATCATGTAAAAAGTGCCACATCTCGGATAAGCCGTCAAACGACAGATAAAGATGCCATAGGCGAAGACTGCCAGTCATCGACTTCCTACGAATGGCTTCCGTCCTTTTCCTCGAACGTATCAACACAATGCCGATAAAATACGACTAACCAGCGTTCAGAAGCTCACGGCAGTAATGATGTATGCACATAATAGGCAAATTCGCAAGTGCGTGCGTGCGTGTCGAGGCCTCGCGTATAAAAGAGACGAGCTGCGTGATATAATCAATAATCATTCTGTTATGTGCTCTCGAGAGCGCGCGCGCGCGTCCCACGCGAGTGAGAGAGATGGATAGAGATTGATAGATAGATGTATAGATATATAGATATATAGATATATAGATAGATAGATAGATAGATAGATAGATAGATAGATAGATAGATAGATAGATAGATAGATAGATAGATAGATAGATAGATAGATAGATAGATAGATAGATAGATAGATAGATAGATAGATAGATAGATAGATAGATAGATAGATAGATAGATAGATAGATAGAGAGAGAGAGAGAGATAGATAGATAGACACACACACACACACACGCGCGCGCGCGCGCACGCACACGCACACGCACGCACGCACGCACGCACGCACACACAGAGAGAGCCACGTATAGACAGAGGAGCGTCATCCTCGCCTCGAGCACTCCTTTATTTCCGAGGTCGTGATTGGTTGAGAGACGCAATCGAGGGACGTCCAATGACTGAGCGTCCGCGTCGAACGTCCAGGTACTCAGGCGAGCGAAGATCCGGCCTCATTCAGGCTCGGGCCATAAGTGCGCCCGAGATTGACGGCGAGAATGATTTTCTCGTCGATCTTCACCGGAAGGAGCGAGCGACGATCCCGCATTGTACTCGTCGCCATTCCGCCGTCGGCCATTTACAAAATCCAAGCCCCGCTTATGTATCCGCAATCGCGATTCGCAGACGCCTCTCTCTTCTTCGTACTTCCTTTTTCATCTCCACGCCTAGTCAATTCTTGCTCTTTCTTTTTTCTTTTTGTTTTTTTTTATACCCTTTCAATACCGGCCTTTGTTTCGCTACTCTGTCTTCGAGTGTGGGCGCGCGCGCGCGCGCTCACCCATCGAACGTTCGATCAATTAACGATGGTTGCTGCAGGATGATGCCAAGGTTGTCGAGCCGCTAGATCGGTAATCTCTCTCTCTCTCTCTCTCTCTCTCTCTCTCTCACTCACTCGACCTCATTCTTTTACTTCTCTACCTCTATTATGACTCTGTTTCTTTTTTCTTCCTCATTGTCGCTCCAATAAATAGATACACTAGCTATTAGACTTTTGCTATTTTAATGACATTACGCAATAGATTTAATCAACGTACCTATCATCAGTCAATTAGATATCGAAATGAAGAATTGGATATTTACGAATTAAACAGTATTGCATAATGAGCAATTGGCTTTCATGCAGTTTTAACGCTTACTTGGCAAATGTATTGCAATAATTAAAGATATTAAATTTAATCAAATGGTATTTGAAATATTTCGCATTTGTCAACTTCTTTTACAGCCTAGAAAATCAGTGGCTTTTTCGAAGAAACAAATATACAAACGAACGAGCAAACAAACAATTATATTTGAAATTTTGATGTTTTTAAATGACATTGAAATGAGATTAAATGTTTAATCACTGCATTTGATACTTCAATATGTTATTAATCATCTATTAATTGATAATTTAGGTAATTGATATGTCATTTCATAGAAGAGGAAGTTATACTAATGAGACTTTGAAAGATATCGTTTCTCTAGGGGTCAAATATGTAATCTTAGGCAGATGTCGATGTAAAGTCCAAAGTTTATCCATTAATCCTCTAAATCTAGTCTATTCTCTATTGCATTACAATTTTTATTTATCATTAAATTATTTGTAACGCTATTAAAGCGGATTTTTTCTTTTTTTTCTTTTTTCTTTTTAATATCACTATTTTTTTTTTAAATATGGCAATGCACCTTAGAGAGTGAAATATTACGAACAAAGTCGATTGTAAAGTAATAAATAATTTAGATTATAGATATTCTTCTGGAATATTAGTAAATTAACAATGACAAAATGCACTATGAAAATCGTTTGATATGTGTGCGTGAGAGGATACATAAACCGTATCTATTTAGGCCTTAATTTAATCTAACTTAATGATTTGGTTTCCTTATACTTTATTTTGTTTTCCCCAGATATTGAACTTTGCTACGTGGACTCCTATTTTTCTTTTTAACTCTCTGGTTGTTAATGCCCGTAAAAACAATTAAGTCCGCCGATTCTTACTAAACAGCGTGCAAAAGAAGGGGAAAGAAAGTCGACGAATCTTGCATGATAATGTCGCTGTAAACCGGGGCGGGGACAGGGGATGGGGTTCTTACTTTGCATTCCTTTGTGGCGTTATTCTTGATCGCGTCCTTTTTTATATCCACGAGCGCATCACACCCTCTCGCGCTTTCCCGTTTTCGCTCAATCTCCTCTCCCTCTCCTTCTCTTCTTTTTGCACCTCTTGAAATTTAAACTTACGCTGCCGACGTTTTAACGCACTTGTTTACTCGAGATGCATTCATAAAGATAGGCGCATACATCTTTACGTTTGTACGTATGCTCAACCCTTGAGGAGAGAGATAGAGAGAGATAGAGAGAGAGATAGAGAGAGAGAGAGAGAGAGAGAGAGAGAGAGAGAGAGAGAAAGAGTGCGCCAAGGTACATATTCATTGCAGTCATTGTTTTCTACGAAATTAAGAAGCTTCGCGTATTTTTCCCTATTTTATTCTTACTTTTCGTTTATTGACTCAACATACGATCATTCATTATTTCACGTTTCATTGTCGATAGAATAACAAGAATAAATATTTTCAAATGTATTAATGCTCGACTTATTTCATCGAATACCAAGGCTTCAATTACGTAATCGCTTATGAACGAAGAAAAAAAACGGTATTACAACTTTTTGCATTATTTATTCTTAAGTACAACATTATAAACACAACATAAGCGAAATGTATCGGTATTATAATAAAAACTCTTTTATTTAAATACAAATAATATATAATATTTTTAATAGAATCGACGCTTTTATCTATAGACTTTTGAAAAGAAAATTTTCTAACGGGATGTCAACAGTGAGATACAATTATTAAATGCAAACAAATTCTGCTTCACAAATTCAAGTAAATTACCACTTAGAGTTAGTCAATTTCAAGAGATAAACGCGTATATTTGCACAAAGTGTACGATAAATCAACAATTACACTCGCTTTCCAGAGTGCTCTAGCATTGGCGAATTAAAGAAACAAAAAAGCAGAAGATGCAAGAGAAAGAGATAGACTATAGTGTAAGGAAATGCTTCGGGTACTCACCCCTCGTGCACCGGTATTTGCGCATCAGCCGGCTCTCCGTCACGGCGTCATTCGTCAATCTGCGGATAAATAAGAGAAGGAAACGGTTATTAGTTTCAGTGGGTAAAGTTTTTTAATCATCGATTTGGTCAAAATTTGTCTTTAAATCTTTGAATAATGACGTTAAATTTCACATATTAGCGTTAACGTTACTTAAGTCATTGTAATAATTTTCCGTCTCGTAAAGGTCACTCATTATTATTCAACAATCTTCTTATTGACTATTGGAGATGAAATGAATTTTATAATGCCATAATGTCTGAATTATCACATTTCGTTGGTAGCGTTAAGCTTTGCTTAATATGATTTGCATTCTAAACTTACTGCCATAGATTTTATCAATTATTGTATAGGCTAGAATATAATATGCAATGCAAATATTCATCATTATTAATTTGGATATCCAGGGGATTTGGTAGTTGCATTTTATATTGGATTTTATACTAGAAAAATCAAGCTTGAAAGCTTAGGAAGACGTAAGCCGATCTATTTAATAGATCACCAATATTAACATGCAATTGTTTGAAAATGCATAATGATTCAGTTTTTATCTATTAATATTATTTATTGTTATACATGGAGTATAAATATATACATGTTTCTACGTGAGTGCGTGAGTGCGTGCGTGCGTGCGTGTGTATTTTGAATCAACGGGTATATAAAAATATTTATTTTTCAAAGAAAAATAAATTAACGAGAATTACTTAATTTTCCTGTTTAATTGGCAACGATTATTTCAATAAGAAAAATCAAAACAAATGAATGAACTTTATTTTTGACGTTTGTTATAAAATTCACGTGACATATGCGGAAACATACAAACTTAATGAATACGATGTACAAACTTATTGATATATTAATTTTTATTCAGTAATACAATGGTGCATGCCTAGATTTAGCATAAGATACTTATTAAATTAACTCGAGTCTACTTTCAATAGGAAAATATTGAAGGGTGAAGAAGATACAAAGACAATAACACGACAAAGCATTATTTCGCGTACAAAAACTCTAACGAATAAGCGACGATGATAATTACGATGACGTGGATGACGTCGTTAAGTAGAGCATTTGCCGAGGCTGAAGCAAGGTAATCTCTTGAAGGAGAGCGAAAAATCTCTCATCTGCACGCATATGGAAACGCGCATGCTTAAGTAAAAAGAAAAAAAAAGCGTAGGAATATAGGAAGCTGGCAGGATCCTCTGCAGTTGTGATCCGTGATTTCAAAGTCGCGCACACACGAAGACAAAGAAAAAGAGATAAATACACACACAAAGGCGAAAGGGATTCTGCGGCAAATCAACATCATCGTATGTAAAATACATGAACGCGGAAGCGCACGCACATTGAAACATGTGAAAGCGCGCGCCGTCATCGCAACGCGATACTTCGGCGAAATTGTTCCTGACATGAATATACGCGAGTGGCATGCGACAATGCGACCATTTTATTTGTTTTTATCCACTTTTTATTCATTTTCTCCTTTCTTTACTTTATACCTCCACCCTTCCCGGCAACGTTTATTTCTTACTGCACTACTGGGAGAGTTGCGCGTTCGTGTGCCTGTGTGCGGGTTTGTGTGTTGGGTACGTGCTCGCGTTTACGCACACGATTATCGAGCTACAAAAGCAAGAGTTAATTTGTTTGGGCTGTACGTGGGGATGCGCTGTCTATCATACGAGTATCGTCATTTAAATACCATTAATTAATTTTCTAAAAGAGAGAAAAAGAAAAACAGAAAAAACAAGGACAAATGCAAAAAAAAAAAATAATAAAATGACAGAAACTTTATCACCGCCAATAAAGTTTTATCTAAAATATATAATCGACAGTTACAGCTGTTTATTTTCGTATAAGTATTTCAAGGCTACAGAGCGCTCTATTTGAATTATTGTCAGATTGAGATTACAACATAAATCTCGTATTTAAGAATAGATAGAGCCGTCATTTCATTACTGTTAATTATCAATTGCAATATTAAGTTCATATGTAACGATTCAGAAAATGATCTCTTTCGAACAGATTTTTATTACATTTTCAATGAGCTGCTGGCAACATATTGAAATTTATAATAATGATTTCTATTCAATGGTATTAGAATTAATAATTCAGTGGCAAGCCATTATATATATATATATATATATATATATATATATATGTTTCGTTCTACTATTACGAGATAATAATATTGTAACATCAGAGATAAAAGCATAATATAATTATATGTATTTTCATATTTAAATAGAAAGAGTCGATGATAGATAAAATTCTGTTTTATTATATTTAATAATTCATTATTATTATTTTAACTACGTGTCGGATAATTGAATAATTTAGAGCCCCGAGTAAATGTGCAAGGAATAAAGTACTTCGGTAAGAAAAGTACCAATAAGTTTGTTAATGATCCGGATAATAGATTAAGCGAGAAAGTCTGAAAAGTTGCTTTTATTGAAATTTTACCTTTAGCTCCACTCTCCCGTCCCCGTCCTGACTGTATAACTCATTTTCTCTCTCTCTCTCTCTCTCACTTCTATCTACTGTTTACGCTCGGTGTGAATAGGAAAGAAAAAATCATTGGAAATGCAAGAAAGCTGCATTAAATCGAAAAAAAGGAGAGATCGTAGCGACGCAGCAAGTAGCAAGACGCAGCCAACTAATGAAAACAGGATAAACAGCGTAGAGGGGAGAAAGGAAAGAGGGTTATGACTCAAAGACAAAGCCGCGCTTCGTTATGCTCTAGTGCGAGAACTCCCTTTCCCTCGAGTCGGCGTAAGCGCGCGCGAAACTTCTTCGCGATGTAATTAGCGCGTCTTTACAGGACGAGAGGAACAATGCCTCTGGTAATTAGTATGCATCTCGGCGGTGATTGTCCCCTGACTTTCTGTTCTTTCGACGTCGTAGCCGCCATTGCGCCGCTGCCTGTCGCGTCGAACGAATGTGACTGTGTCCCAACCCCCGCGAGCTTTAAAGCTCCAGTCAGTAACGTCCAAGTGTGTGCTGCTCTTTCACTATCTCCGCTTCTTTCTCTTTTCGTGCCAAGCTCGTATTATTTCATGTACCACTCTTTCTTTTTCTCTTTCTTCTTTTCTTTCTTCATTCTTTTTTTTTTTTTTTTGTTTTTTTGTTGCATAATACACGCGCTTTACTGCATTCACTTATGATCAGGTGCTTTGCGTCTCTTTCGATCTTTCTCGTACTCTTTTTTTTTTTTTTTTTTTTTTTTTTTTTTTTTTTTAAAATTTGCATGAAAACGCATTTTCTTATATTCCCTGTACGTTTCGTCCTTATTGCACCATTTCACACTTCGCGTTTCATTGCTCTATTATCTTTCTCGTACCGTTTTAAACATATTCCTTTCGCCTTGCTTATTTTCGATAGTCTACTGTGCCAAGTCTGTCTTTTACACTTATATACTTCTTCATTTATTTCCAAGAATAACCGTTTTTCTTCATCTTTATATTGAGTAAGTTTATTTTTTATTTTTTCTTTTTTTGATTAATGATTTGAGAAAATTTTATTATTCTATAATTATGTATTCATTTTTATATAAAATTATGAATTAATATGCTTTTATTGCGTATCGTTTTTTTTTTTTCATCTTATTTTTTTTTTTGCACAATTGTCTACAATTCCGACAAAAAATATATACCAGTTTCAGATGATAAAACACAAAGTGTATTAAGTATATTAATTAATTATAAACTTTACAATAAAGATTTTATATAATTTGTAGATTTAGGACGATTCAAATTCTCTGTCATTTTCTCTGCCTTAAAAATTTCTTTAAAAAATTTCTCTTACATGAACAAATTGTCACGCTATGTCACGCTAACTAATAACTCTCACTAAAGCTCGTTAAAGTTCAAATAAGCTAAACAACATTATTTACAATGGCCAAATTTAAACAAATTGTTGAATGAGCGTAGCGCTAACAATGTCATAGAGCCAATGTTGGAGAGAAACGGGTACGTGCACATCTACAACTTCAGAGATTTTAATCCGTGCAAGTCCCTTGCCACGCCACCTATAGGTATTTCCTGTAAGACCGTATTTAAAAGCATTTCCACAATATTTAACACAATTTATCGAAGCTTTCTATGAATTTCTTTTATACTCATCATAATTTAGTGTACGAGACGATTGACGGATAAGGCATCGAGACCGCCTAAAATATCTCAGATAAAATCAATTAACAAAAAATATTAAAAAAAAAAAAAAAAAATGAAAATATTTGCGCGACTAATTGATCCGACAAATGCTGAGTTTTTCAAATATAGCACGACTTTCTCCTCACTTCCTACTTACGCACACTCTCTATCCGTCTCTCAAATAGTAAGTTCCTCTTCTCCTCCTCTGCCCTTACAACGAAAATTTCGAGTGCGTAATGCACGTACATGGACGAGTGCGCGCCCTAACGCGCCGATAATGCCCTCCTGTATTGACTGTGCACGGGAATGTACTTGAAAAAATTAAAAACAAAAAAAGGTACAAAAGAAAAAAATAGAATGAAAGAAAGAAAGAAAGGAACGATAATGTATAAGGAAAAAGGAAAAAAGATTAAAAGGAAAAATATAAAAAATAAGAAAGACGAGTATGTAAAGAGTAAGTAAAGAGAGTGAGAGAGAGACAGAGAGAGAGAGAGAGAGAGAGAAAAGTAACAAAATTATATTAGAGACACACTTTTGTTTGTTTTTTTTTAAAGGGATGATTGTCGTATGATAGGAGCGAGCGATGGAAGATACGACAAAGCTTTGCTCTGTCTACTTTACTATAACTTTTCCCGCTATCAGCCCTCGATTATTTATCACGTATTGTTCAATAATTCGAATGATAGTATGATCGGCCATGTAGAATTCTCGTGGATTATAATTTTACCTCTTCAATTTATCATTTTTATCCACCAAAATCTAATGACAGTCTTTACAATTGTTAATTACGTTTCTCAAAGCCATAGAGCAAGCTACATAAGATAGGCACGAGTGAGAAAACAAGTGGGAAATCCGTGCCTTAATCGCACTTC